CCGGGAAAGCGTGTGACATTCTTTGAAAGTGTCTCGCATTCTTTTCATCCCCCTTCCTTTGCTTTTGAAAATTAATCAAAAGATGGGGGGGCCACGCCAGTGGGGGCTTATGTCTCCCCGGAAAATTGTAATAAACACCTAAATTTATAATAAATTAATTATTAAAAAGATGGTTAAATTTATCAGTCACGTAATTTAAATCTATCAGTCCAATGATAAATATTTAATGATTTATATAACACAAATTTACCACAATAAAATATTTAATACTAGTATTATTGATCATTTAAACAACACAAATTCACTAATAGAACCACAAGGATCTCTAGAAATAATTCTTTAAAACAAAAGGATTCGACATTAAATATCCATAGCATTTCTTCCGATTCTGAGGGCGAGGGTTGCGTACAAAGATTATTGCGCTTCTCCAAATTTCTAGAACCCACGTCACGCTCTCTTCCCAGAGTGGTGATACGGACATTCTGTATTAAAGGCACCGGGTGGCGCCCAAAACTAACATTCCGGGAGGGCAGGGTTTTTTTTGTTATGGAAGAGTCCAGTCATGAGACTTGTCGCCCAGTCTGAACAATCATGAATTCTGATCGTCACCCACTTCAATCTCGCTTCTTCTTTTCTGGTTTTTATTGCTGGGGCTGGGAGTTCTTGACCGCTCTCCTCCTTTTTAGTTGCTCGTCCCAAGCAGGCTTTCCCGAAGGGAGGAAGGGATACTAGCAGATCACAGATATACGGGATTTTTCTCCTTTTCTTTTGTTTTTGTTTTTGATTTGGTTGGCTCGTCTGGTTTGTTTTATTTCATCATCAAGTTAATTAAGAGTAGATAATAGAGGTGGGTGGAGTGAAGGGAGAGGAGATAGATCGGGAGAAATGGCTTCGCAAAGATCGGTGCCGGCGCCGTTTCTGACGAAGACGTACCAGTTGGTGGATGATCCGGCCACCGACGACGTCATATCGTGGGGTGAAAGTGGGAACACGTTCGTGGTGTGGAAGCATGCGGATTTTGCCAAGGATTTGCTTCCCAAGTATTTCAAGCACAACAACTTCTCTAGCTTCGTACGCCAGCTCAACACCTATGTACGTTCCCTTCCTCTTCTCACTTACATGATCTCTTCATATTTCCTCCCTTATTTACTCTTTCATTATCGCCTGTGTTAATTTCCTGGCTTGAAATCTCTTGCTCTGCCTTTTTGCCAGAGTTGATAAATTAAATTAAAGCTACCTCAACAAACATAGTTAAGTTCCGATCCATCAGAGATGAGAGATTAATTGTATCTTGATTTACGATAGAAACTGATAAGTCTGGGAATCAGGGATCACTTGGGTCATCTTAAGACAAAAAATACGACATTCACGTGCCTTCAAAACGCATGTCATGTTGGTTTCATGGGACAACTGAAAACTCAGTTTGTAAAATAAATAAATCAATAAATAGGGCTTTTCTCCTCCTGGCAGTTCCGGGCATCGAAATTCGGAAAAACAGACAAGTATTGCATATGCCGGTTAACCAAGAGGAGGAGAGCCGGAGGGCAAGAAACAATTATTCATACGTAGGGTTTGATGGCAAGCAACGTCATGGCAGTCTTATATGTTTGGTGGCCTATCAAAGCAGAATAGTTGTATCTTTCCAAACAAAAGCCTAAATGTGCGTTCCACGCGGGAAAAATACTTAATATTATTGCCTCAACATTTCCCCTCATGAGTCATAACTCATAAATTCAACTTTCTTTAAAAGATATTTACGAAAACGTAAACAGAATAATGATTAATTTATATTTTTTGTTGTTTGTAGAATAAATAACGTCTTATAATTAAAAATAGAAAAAATAAATAATTCTTAGGATATTGTGAAATTCTGAAGTTTTTTTTTGGCCCATAATGATATAACGTGCCCAAATATTAAATATCTAGTAGGGTAGTACTTGATAGTATTTCTGTTTTTTTTTTTGGCCTGAAGTATTTCTAGTTAAATGAATCTTCAACATTTGAAAAATAAATAAATAAATTATGGACCTTGCCAGTGAAAGTCCATCGTTTTCGCTTAACGACAAAATAGGGAAAGTATGTATCAATTGTTGCCTTCTAGAAACGGGAAACCCGATTCATAAATTGATTACCCAGATCCTGACGATCGTCGTGTCGTACTGTCGTCTATCTGCTCACTGTGTACTGAATATGGTGAACTGGCACATGCAGTAGGGCCGCATTGTTTAGATATTTACAGCTCAAGGTTCACACTCCGATGATGAAAATTTCACTTACCGTTCATGATTGACTGCTAATTTTAAACTGGGGGTTCTTTCCAGGGATTCCGTAAGATTGTTCCTGACAAATGGGAATTCGCCAACGAATATTTTAAACGAGGACAGAAAGAGCTGTTGGCGGAGATCAAACGTCGGAAACCCGTGGTGCAATCCGCGGCGCAGGCGCCTGCGGCGTCGAACTCCGGCGGGGATGACATGGGATCGACCTCGACTTCTTCTCCAGATTCGAAGAATCTAGGAACGGTGGAGACGACGAGTTCTCAAATGGCGAATTTATCGGGGGAGAACGAGAAATTGAGAAAGGATAACGAGGTGCTGAGCTGGGAACTGGCGCAGGCGAAGAAGCGGTGCGAGGAGCTGATTAGTTTTCTGAAGGAGCACGTGAAGATGGGTCAGGATCAGATCCATCGGATCATGCGGCAAGGAAGCTGTGGGTCCAGCCGCAAACATGAAGGTGAAGATGACGACGAAAACGCGGTAGGTGAAAGGGAGGGATCTGGTGGGGAAAGCTTGAAGCTGTTTGGGGTTAGGTTGAGCACAAGCCATGGCAGCGTCGCCAACACCAAGAGAGGGCGCGAAGACCAAATAGGGTGTGGTGGCCCTCACTCTAATAAGCAGCTGAAAGCTGTTGACTTTGTTTCGCCCGTGATGATGAAGAGCAGCAAGGTCTGCAACTGAGTCACCTCTGCTCTCCTCATCAAATCAATACTCTTTCTGCAGATAAGATGACAGAATTAATCACCTATAGTTCAGTGGCGGGTGTCACCATGAAGGACAATGTCACGTGCTCACCCTCATCCACTGGTGCCATTTTTTCCTTCCTAGTTTAATTTCGTGATGCTCTAAATTTCAATGTACTGCGATTAATATCCCCTCCCTAGATATGCAAAGGCATAAATAGAATAATATAGCAAGGATTTAGGAGGAATCTTTGCTCGCCATACACGCATGGTTGTTAGTTTGGTAGTGCGGTAGAAGGGGAGGTCAGAAAGGATCTCTCATTTCATGGCAGTACCCCTCTGTTCAAGATCTGGGTGTAAATAATAATGTAGTGTGAATTTAATATTGTGATGTTTGTAACTTGTTTACCCCTTTTGAGCAAATAAGTTGACAAGGAAACTCATGATTAACATATTTTAACCACGGCGAACGTTGAAAGGAACGACACTGCCTTCTCCCTCAATTGGGCATACCATCCTAAATGAGCAACAGGGGCGTGAGGCCGCTGCTACTTGCTGGCCAATCGCAACAATGTGACCCTCTTCATTTATCCCTGCTTCGAGACCAGAATGAAATGGGGATTATTCTTTCCCCCTTTTTGTACCGCGGTATTGGATGAAGGGTTGAGCTTTTGAAAGGACAATGATATTGTACGAGTCATGGAGCACAATTGACAAGCTCGAACTCAGGATGCTGGTTCTACATTATTCCACCATCCACATCCCCTCAATTTTCTTCTGTAATAACAATGCCCGAGGTTGTTTTGGGTCTTTGGAAATCAGCGAATTGCAAAAAAAAATTTGCATGGGGCCATATGCAGGGGAACGAGTTTGGGTGGACATGGATTGTACTTTTTGGGCCGACAACCACCGGTAACCCTTCTCTACTTTTTGGTTTCCTTTTTTCGTTTACTTCTTTTGGGCCAACCATGACAATGTTCGTTAAACAAAAGATTAATTTAACATTGGACAATGTGGTGAGTTCGAATCTCTGCCAACGTGAAGATTTTGTTGGGGGATAATTTGTAAAATGATATAAAGGCTAAAAATTATCTGCAATTAAATGAAAAAAGGAGTTTAAAGAAATGCATCTGTTTGGGAGATAATTCCTCAGGTTCCATTCCATCTTAGGAAAATTCCTTCAGACTTCAGGGAACCTTCATGCCAGGGTAATAATCATCTGCGCAAATTGCATCAATCATCCGCATCTTGCATCCGAATCAGGCGTCAACTTAGTTATAGTAGCAAGCAAAATCACCGTTCAATAACGCAGTCATGGTCATTTGCACATAATGCTTGAGCATGAGACCAGCAAAGCATAGACCAATTGACTCGACTAAACCAGCAAGCAGCGTTGACAAAAGGGGGAAAAAAAAAAACCAGCAAGCAGCGTTGACAAAAGGGGGAAAAAACCAGCAAGCAGCGACAAAAATCACTGTTGAATCATACACTGACCCCGGCAACAGTTTCAATTGAATTGGCAAGCCACAGTGAAGCCTCATTCAACAGAATGAAGCATCATTTTGAGTTTTTCATGGCCAATAATGACTGTTTTTTTTTTCCATTTAAAAAAAATAAAAAATGACGGGTTTGAACTTTGAAGAGAACGGACCGTACATTGGAACAGTCAGCAAAATGAAGCAACAATCCCTTTAACTGGGTCGCTGCTACGTGGGAGAACTTGGAGGAAGATGTCGAAAATCAGATCGGGAAAGCCCCCTGCATTTTGCAGCGGTTTCCGTGCGTGCGTCGGGACGCCTGTGTTGATGGTGGTTTCTGCGAGAAAAGTCAAAACACGGTCAAGCTGGGATTCCACTTTCCAGGGTTGAACTCGCTTGACCAAAAACGCAACGTTTATCACGCCAAGAAGGGACGGCTGCGATCGCTTCTCACCACGGACGGTCCAGACGAACTCAATCGGAAAGGAAATGAAAACTCACCCTTCTTTTTAGCTTTGTTGGACTTGAGGCCGTGGCTGAAGGCCCATCACGTCGCGCGATTCATCTGACGGCACACATCAGAAGAGTAGTGCAGCCTAACTGCTCTTTTAGAAAGCCGGCGCTCCGATCATCACTTTGTCTTTCTCGTGCTCTTTCTTCGAAGTCTGCGGCAGGGAAGTTTTCAGTCCAGGATGGTAAGTTTTCCTCCATCTCCTCCTCTGTCTCTCTGGGGAGTTGCCTCCTTTTCACTTTTGGCGACTTTCCACCCTGCGTAATGGAATCTTGGTTCAATCTGGGGTTTGTGCTGAAAATGATGATTCTACCCCCGGTAACTGCCTGCTCTTTATTTCCTAGATGATCTGATCTGTTCCTTCAGTGAAGATGACTGAAACCGAGAGAAACCTTGCATGTTCGGAATTATACGTACTACATCATCTCCCCCTTATAAAAAATAGTTAACTAATTTGATGGCGAGATTAAAAAAATACATTAAGTTAGTTATTTGTAATAAATATGTGTTGTTTTTTTAAAATATTCTTCTTAATCAAGTGCATTGGTTATAACTACTAATATTAAAGTTTCACAAATATGAGAGATAAAAGTGAAATGGGGTCTTATATTTAGGTTCAAATTAAAACTCAAATAAAGTCTTATATTAAGGATTGGAGGTAGTATTAACTATCAATTATTAATAATTCTAGAAGCATTTGCGAAGTGGAATGTTAAAACAAAATATAGCGGTTGAAGAGATTAAAAGAGGGGAATAAAATTACAGATCAAATGCAAGGTTTAACGATGTTCTTTATTCCACTGACCCTCTGCCATGCTGGGTAAACTAATTGACCATACATCAATTCTTGAAAATAAAATTAAAATAGTTGTGGGTTTAAAGTTGATGACATCTCCAACACCATATGGGAATGTTAACAAAGTATGAGGCATATGTGATTGAGGAAAGAGAATTAATTTTGATCAATCATTATGTATTTGCTAATTAAATGGAATCCTGTATCAGGGCCCGTTATATAGAGGGGAATCTACGAGAATTCATAAACCTAGAGGGCGCCATCATGGATTGAGCCAACAGAAGAAGCAGGAGATTAGGGAAGCATTTGAATTATTTGACACGGATTGTTCAGGTTTTGTATACTTAAGTATCAAAATTGAGTTTCATTTGAATTTCAAATAATTTTTATGACATTCCTTGTTGATTTTTAGGTACCATTGATGCCAAGGAGCTGAATGTTGCCATGAGGTATGACTGTTATTTCAAAACTCTTAGGCTTTGTCATCTCAACCAGCCTTGTAATATCCATAACAGACATCTTATTTTGACAGGGCCCTTGGTTTTGAGATGACAGAAGAGGTATAATCTACAATCCAGTACACTCACTGAACTCTGCGTGTGTATTTGTTTATTACGATGGGATGGTGCAACCGATGATTTACTCGTTGTGAGGCTGTGGCCAAGGGTAAAAACTCCTTGTAATGAGGAAAAGATACGTCTATAGTTTTTTGGCCTTGTAATGAGAAGAGACATCTATCTCCTTCTCGATCATTCCTGCCTATCTCACCCTGCCCTCTTTCAATCATTTGGCATTGTCTGCAGTTCTCCTTAATCAGAGTTGTCTCCCAAGTTTGTTGCTTTTGAATGCGATGAAATCTAATTTTATGATGTCAATGGATTTTTTTGTTTTTGTTGTTTTTTGCCTGGATGATGTCAATGGTTTGAGTATATCTTCTTTAGTATTTTTGGATCTGGGATGTTATTTTGAAAGTTTTGTACGCATGTGTAAAAATTGGTCCACTGTGTTATTCCAGCAAATTAATCAAATGATAGCAGACGTGGATAAGGATGGCAGTGGGGCAATTGAATATGATGAGTTCGAGCACATGATGACAGCCAAAATTGGAGAAAGGGACACTATGGAAGAGCTAATGAAAGCTTTCCAGATTATTGATCAAGATGGAAATGTGAAGTTCTTCACTTTGTATACATGATCTCTATAGCCTTTTCTTCTTCTTCTCCCCATTTTTCAGCCTCTCATTTAGTGTCCATGCAGGGAAAGATATCTGAAGCAGACATTCGGAGCATTGCAAAAGAGCTAGGTGAAAGTTTTACTGTCAGGGAAATTCAGGATATGATTGAGGCAGCAGACCTCGATCGTAAGTTTTCCATATCATAATAACATGGTTAAAATTTCAATTCATAGAAAGTCAATTATCCGCATCCAACTGCGCATTTGTTTTCATTGGTGAAGAAGACTTCGTTATGGTATTTATGTTATTTAATGTGTAGGCGATGCAGTTTTCTTATATTGGTGATGTTAATGTATCATCTCATTTCTCTTAAGTTGCTCGATGCGGTTAGATGGGTCATTCTCTTGGCATGGGTGTTAAATAGGTCTTGTTAACAAATGCCTCCTTGTGGCTCTGATTGTTTGCTGCACTGAAAATACATGTGTGATGTAATTTCATGGTTTTACTATATGTATGTGCTGGGTTCTGCTTTATTATTACTGATTTTTTTAAAGCAAAATGTTTGGGAAACACTCTAGTGACAAAGTATGGTGGAACTGTTAATAATATATTCAAGGGATATGGATAGCCAGTTTACTTGGGGCATTTTTTTTAATCCGGCAAAACTTAAACTTCTTGTTATTGAGAAAATTAGTCATTGGTTTCTCATTTGGGGACGGATGGAGTAGTTGAGGATGATATCGTCAATCATTGGTTTGAAATGCCTCGTGCAGAATTGGGGAAAAGGGGACTATGAGAATTCACATCTCTACCTCATGGCATTTATATTTACTCTGTTCTTTCATCTTCCTGATTATTAGAGGTCAGTGATATGCATTGAAGAGTATGTGTGGATCTATTGAAATACGAGCAGTAGCTTATTGTTTTGATGACAACTGCAATTATAAAATAAGAAAAATGGTCTGCTAATTCTCTATGCCATGACTGAGATGTATGATGAGAAAAAGTTCATTATTGCTTTGATAATATCGTCACGCTACGATTGGGTAATTCTTCTGAAGATCCTTTTTTATTACTTCACAATTTTAAAAAAAAAAATATTATTTCTGTTTCTCGATCAAGTATTGATTTGCTTCATAATTCTGATAATTGTTTAGTCCTGTGACATTTAGCAGCATGATTTTGACAAAAAGAATGAAACAATTTTTTGCAGTTTATGGGTTCTATATAAAGAAAAGGCTGCTACTCCCCACATAAAAAGGGGAAAAAAAAATGCTTAAGCAACATAGCAGTCTAGTTTAAATAGCATATTGCGATGTTGGAGAGAAAAGGGGGCAGGTTGTATGAAGGGACCGGTAAAATTACTGTTTGTGCTTTTTCGATGAGTTTTTATCATTTCTTTGTTTGTCTGTGACCTGGTACATTTTGGGCTAAAAATGTGCAGATGATGGGGAGGTGAATGCAGAGGAGTTCATCGGGATGATGAAGAGAACTAGCTATGGTTACTAGTAATATGAATATCCAAGCGGCCTGCGGGTAAAAGGAATAAAATTATATCGAACAGAAGCGGCAAAATGTTATGGGGACAATTGTGATCGTGTTTTGCCTGTAAATAGCGATAGCAATTTAATAAATAATAATAATAATAATAATAATAATTGGCTTGTGGGCAAATACTCAGTACTCTATCATTGTACAAGTTAGAAGTTTAGAACCTTGGGGCTTGCATGATCGGATGCAACTTGAGATTGAATTATTATTATTTTTTTAAGCCAAATGAATGTACTTGTATATAGAGTTAATTTACAATATAATGTTATACTGTATTTGTAAGGGTGACAAAGTTGCTAATACAAAAAAGGAGGGAGGGAGGGAGGAGTGGGATCAAGAAAAGGCAGGCACCGGCATAAGACTGCGGGGAACACATTGCAGATGGAAGAGAATGATGAGGGAGGGCATCGGTTAGATGGGCTCAGCCAGGCTTGCTCTCTCTGTTTTTTTTTTTTTTTATGGGCCACGCGTGCTTTTTAGTTCTTACAATTACTCCTTTATAATCATCCTATTCGGAACTCGGAAGAGGGCTTAATCCTCACAGTCCAGGCCAGGAGAAACCTGTCTCCATCATATCCGCACACTAAATCAACGAATTCAGATGCTTCAGCCGTTAATGAGACGGTGCAGATCAGCTCAGTCTCTTTAATCATTTATCCAGCTCCCAGTGAATTTAGAGGTTGGACCGCGCCGCTAGGCTCGCCAACCAACGATGCATTTGTTTGTTTGTTTTTGTTTTTTTTTTAATGTTTTAAATTTGGTGCTTTGGATCAAATATCTCAAGGAAAAAAATTTCATTATATAATTTTTATATTACATAAAAATGTTACAAAAACAGAATTCTCATTAACAAAGATGTAAATAGTTGTTAGCTCTTGCGTTATAGGCTTAGCCTGGCAAGCTGTATCACCACCCCTGCAGTGAAAATAACTGAATATCGTACCCGAAACTTTGAGAGATTTGACGCAACCAGGAAATAAACCCCCTTCACAAACAAGTTTGCCGCACCATATACAACAGCAACACTATAATTATCCAGTCTGCAAATGAAATTTTCCGACGCCCAGAAACCTGAAGAACACAATCGCGCGATTTGCTTTGCATTCGTCGGCGCCTCGGCGGTGGGTTGAAAAATCAAAATAAAAAGAGAAAATATCTTGCCAGCATTTTCCACCATTGATGAAATCTCACGCTTCAAATATCGACAGGTGTTGCCACGCATTCCTTCGGAGGATTACCTCCTCGCATGGACTCCGGATCCATCCTATTTCTCAAGTGAATTATGTAATTGGTCGTGCGGCAGTCGTTTTGGGCACTGATCGCGCGATAAGGACGTTGCTTTGCCGGACCGTCTGCTTGAAGACGATGGCCATTGACGCAGGCGAAGCTTCGTTTTCACCTTCTCAGAATAGCCATTCCAGGTTCCATCGATTTTCCTCCTTTGCCCTCTCTTGTGCGTTTCTTCTATTGCTCTAGTCAGCTATTGCAATTATACGTTTCTCCTCCAGTTGTCCTGAAAACTAAAGCTTTCGTTTTCTTTCAGTCAGTCGCGCCATTTTTATCTCGCAGTGGACAGGCTACAGTTCAAAATGGTTTCTCTCCTTATATTCTCCCCTCTATTTTAATTCTTACAACCATTTAATTTTTTCCCATTCAATTGAAAACACTTCATATGAGATAATAGAATGATTGTTCAGGAAACTTTGATGGATCTGCTGGGTTTGGTAGGCCGGCGTCCATGCCTACCCATTGTAGTCTGTTGCAGTACTCGCGATGAGCTTGACTCTGTCTGCTCTGCCTTTTCCAGCCTCCCTTTTATGTCTTTGTCAGTCTTGGTAATTTTTTCCCCCCCGGTTTGGTTGAGATTTTATTTTGGGGATTCATAATTAGAATATTCTCAGTCTATGCTTTGGTTGCTGGCGACAAATGTTAGCTTTTTCTTTATGCTGATGAAAAAACAAGAGTAGTTCATGTGGTTAGAATTGTAATCGCGGCTTCAGTCTCCCTTTTCTTCATGGCATGCAATCGGTACCTTCTTCTTACTGTTGTTCCTGGTTGTTGTATTGCTCTTGATAATACAGTGTAAAACGAGCGTTTTTGTGATTTTCTCATCTGTACGTTGGATGTCATTTCTGGTATCAGCTCAATGTAGTCACTTTCTTACCGGTCATATCTGCAGTGTAGTATTCAATTTCCTAGTTTACATAATCATGGACTAAATGGATTATTTTCGTTTTTGCAACGAGATTAGCCCTCCAGTAATGTTAAGAACTGAGAAGTCCTTTATTTGTAAAATGCATCTATAATTTGATGAAAAGTGAGTGCTCGGTTTAGAATTCAAGTTTATCTCGATTGATGTTTAGCTTTCTTCAGGTGATTATCATATATGCTTTATGAATATCATTTGTTTGCTGGGACTTGTGTTTTTCAATTGACCAATACTTTCCTTGGGGGGTGTTTGAGGTACCCATTCTGCATGCCTTGTTGGCTATTTGAGCTACACTCCTTGTTTACAGATGCTAGATTTTTGGATCGTTATTTTACTGAACGCTATCATGATTGCTAACCCATTGCTTTATAATCCTTTTCTTTTACTTGCGCATGTCAGTATAGTGACCTTGCTGAAGCAGAACGTGCTCTTATCTTAGAGAAATTTCGGCAAGTGACAGCAAGGTGGAGCCAGGTAAACCATGTGGGAACAGAAAATGAAGATGAGGATGGGAAAGATGAGCAAAGGTCTCATATGATAGTTGTAACAGATGCATGCCTTCCTCTCCTTGCTTCTGGGGAATCTCCAATATCTGGCCATCTTCTGATAAATTATGAACTGCCAGCAAAGAAGGTTTAGTCCTTTTTCTCGAGGCTTCTGTCTTGTTTCATTTTTGCTGCAGACTATCTTTTAGCAAGTGAAAGAATGTGGTTTGTGTGCGTTGAAAGTCATGTCTATGAGTATTTGGTATTTACATCACACTGTCTTTTTCTCCAATCGATCCTGTGTTTATTTTCTCTTATAATTTTTGTGCTACCTGCAGGAAACATATGTGAGGCGCATGGCAACTTGTTTGGCAGCTGGTCCTTTCAAATTCCTTGTTCTTTAGTTTTTGTTAAGTGGCAGTTTGGATATATGTAGGTTACTAAAATTGCTCAAAAATGTGCAGATGGAGTTGTCATTAATATGGTCGTTGGTGGTGAAGTGGTCACTCTCAAGAGCATTGAAGAAAGCAGCGGCATTGTCATACAAGAGATGCCCATGCAGGTATGTTTGTGTAGGAAGTCTTGGTTGACTAGCTTCAATTTATCTAGCCAAAAGTGCATTGCTACATGTGAGTAAATCTCTACCAAATTCGTTTCAAAGCGAGGAAGTTGGCCGTTTTAATTGTTATATTGGAGAAACCTGAGATTTGAAAACCATTTTAGAAGTAAATGTTTTCTTTATGTTTAGTCCTCTGTTTTCTTGTCTTTCAAGACTTTCATGATTTTCTAGTTGGCCTTATACGCAGAAATGTTAACATGTTGCAGATTCTTGATATTTTGTGAGCATTTGTCTTTGGCGTTGGGAGAAGACAGCTGAGGGTAATGATACATTGCACTCCTAGGAAAGGTTAAAAACCTTGAGGGCTTTTATTTCTTTGGAAGCTGTGTTGGCACATGAAGAATACGATCACTAACTTGTACAATCTTTTTCTACCATCTCACAATTGCCTTTAATGGTGGAGATCTGCATCTCCTTGTTGCCGAAAATTGATTCCTAGAAGAAAAGAAAACGTAATGGATCTTTGTTTTATATAGAGCATGAGGTGAGTCACGTTGTTTCCGACTTACATACTAATCCTCAGGATCAAATTAAAATTAATTTAGAGTACAATATAGTAATGCAAACTAAAGTCATTCTTTTATTGGAGTCAAGATTGTTCAAGTCGCTAAATACAAAAATTACTATTTAAAAAGGGTTTTGTTGATTTTTCAAATTTAAAAACTACTTTGCAAAAGAATTCGGAAACTTTTCTAAATACTACTTTTTGCTTCTTTTTTTTTGAAAAATAAAGTGAAAAAGGTAAATTGAATTTTTTTTTTTTGACCGGAAAAAAGGTAAATTGAATTTGAAAATTTAAGAAAGTTGACTAAAGAGATAACAATTTATAATGAATTCCTTTTTAGAGCTTTAAATTATGTTCTTCTTGCTTTAAAAGATCTACGGAATTTTAATTTCCAAATCAATCATTTAGTTTAGGCAGGTACTTAAACTTAGATTAATGAACCTGTAAAAGAGCTCTTTAACTAAGAATTTAAAACAGAATTAACAATCTTCATTAAACACATTGAAAGAGATTAAAACAACTGTGCATAGTCAAAACCAGCAATCTTAATTACCGTGAGACTGACTAACAATTTAACTCAAAAGATTAAACACTAAATTAATTCAATTCAATGTCAAACAATGAAGTCAAGCATGAAACAATTAAACACAATTATTATTCTCAACATTCAAATTCGAAAACTACACCATAACCATAATGTGACAACTCCAGAATCACAACACAATTAACTGACTAAGATAAACCAATAACTAAGATTGCTCCACCGAGCTCCGTTGATTTTGCCTTCGCTGCAGCGGAGGAAAGAGGTGGACTAAGTGACTCACGCAAGAAGAACGAAAGACGGCGGTGTCACGGCTTGAAGATGATGATTGATGGTGGGGATGGGATGGAATTGCAATTCAAACGGAGGAAAGGATTGGGTCGCCGTCGATAGTAATGGTGACTATGGAAGGGATCGACGATGGTTCATGGAGTGAGGGAGAGATGTGACGATGGTGAATGGAAGAGGAGGTCAAGGTCGCGACCCTTCGCCTCCTCCTCCCATCTCTCGAAGAAGAGGAGAAATTAAAAATCAGGTGTGCCCTCAGCTTTCAAAATGGTGAGTTTGCTCTAGGTACTTCTTGGTATTCTCAAATTTGTAGGTCCTTTGCTGCCTTTTGCTTTTCAAATTTCAATCAATTAAAATAAATTATAAAAATATCATATTTTTGTCTTTTTTAGTTCTATTTTCATGCAACCATTTTTAATTCAAAATTTCAAATTAATCATAATAAATTAAATTAAGCCCAATTAAATTGATAAAAATTTCAAATAAGATATGAACAAATATGATAAAATGAGGATTTATCACAAACAATGAAACTTAATTACGTGGTTGTTTCCATGATAGCAACTTTTTTTCCTTCTAATTTTTCTTGGGGCCAATCTCTTGTGATGGCATCCTGATCCGAGCTCTTCTAGGTTGCCGGTTTGAGTCTTATTGTGGGATGCCGGATTTGGTTTGGGGGGGGGGGGGGGGGGGGGACAAAACAGGGCATTTGAATACCCTGCATCTGGTACACTTCTGCAACGATGAAGTGTACTTTATTATATTCATAAAGTGTATATATATGAGCGATACAAAAAAATTGATGTTTTATTGAAAATCTAAACATTTTAAAACAAAACCGAAACTTCAACGAGCAATCATTTTAAGAAAAGAATTCTTTAGGATCAAAATCACTGGCAAAAAATATAGGACTTTTTTCGAATAGTATTTATAAGTAAGTTTCATGTAAGTGAAGATAAAATTTTTCTTATATACTTATCTCGTATTTCATAAATTATAATTAAAAAGTTACTTGTAACTTATAATATCAATTTCAAGTTGATATATGTGCGACCTGAAGTAAAATAACTGTAGGCGAATGATTCGCCAAAACAATTGTTAACTCTAGTCTTTAGACCTGTTAATGAGTAGTACTTCTTTTAAAGGGCAATAAAGACCCATAAAGATCGGGTTGAGTTTTCTTCAAGTGAAATAGTCTTGCCTCGCATACGTTGACATAAAGTGGGTCCAGTTTATTTGTTTATGAAGGATTACAGAAAGCAGAAGAAAAACTTGACTTAACAAAGACCAAAGATGATGTATGTGCATGCGTGACTTTTGGCTTTTTGAATTGGAAACCGGAGTATTCCAAGATAGTGACAGAAATTTGGTTTATGGAGCAACTTGGCTGCATAGATGTTCTAGATTCGTGGTAATTTAACTACGGCATGAACACTTCATTCTGATTCTGATATTCTGCATGATAAGGTATTTCGAAAAGCCCATGAAGAGATTGGTTATGTCTTTGGCATGGGATAAAATGAAAGTGATGGCAAGTGATCGACGTGATGTGTCACAGTACTTATTCGACTTTGCAAGTGAGCGTGGTGGTGAATACACGGATTGCCCAAGTGGGAGCAGAACATCCTCCTCCGCGAGACGTGTTCCCACTTTCAGCGTCCATCTTTTTTCCTCCGCCTATCCCCACACTGAACCTGCTCCAATATACATATCCTTTCCATCTTTGATTCCTCAACGCGTAAGAATTATTGATGAAAAGTTTATTCTCAAATCCCAACTTTAATTTAATTCCATAGGATGAGATAATAAAAACAACTACGTACGCAATCAGATTCCATCAAATCTCCACTAAAAAACTATCCCTAGGGGCGGCTGAGGGAATCCAAGAGCGTCTTATATATTATTGTCATCTCATCTGACTTATCCAAGTATCAGCCATCTTCAACTTCAACACACAAAAATCAAAGTTAGCGTATCCCTTGCATCAGATTAAAGAGGAGATGTCAAAAATGAGTTTCCTCAAGTTTCAACATGGTTTCTCATGGAAGTCCTCCTCTTCCCAGCGAAAAAGCACACCCACCATAAACAGCACCTTCAAGTCATCATCAACCCGACAGATTTCCAATTCTTCTTCGTCGGGATGGAGCGCGCAGCCAAAGTCAGAGGAGCTAAGATGGGTGTTTGCTAAATATGACACCAACAAGGACGGCAAAATAACGCTGGAAGAGTACAAGGCTGCCTTAAAGGCAACAAATAAGAGTATTCCAAACGAAGAGGCGGAGAAATCATTTCAAGTGATGGACTCTGATGGAGATGGTTTCATCGACTTCAAGGAGTTCTTGGAAATGTACAGTGGAGGAGGCAAAGTGAAGGAGAGTGAGCTGAGAAGTGCATTTCAGGTATTCGACTTGGATGGGGATGGGAAGATCAGTGCAGAGGAGCTGTGTCGAGTTCTGAAAAGGCTGGGAGAATCAAGCAGCATGAGCGCCTGCATCCAAATGGTGAAGGGTGTAGATGGAGATGGCGATGGCTATATAGATTTTGATGAGTTCACCAGAATGATGACCAGCGGCAAGAGGCTCATCTAACTCAACCAGTGTCCTGTATATATGCTCTGAGCACATCATCATCTTGTTAAATTTGTGTGTTCGTCCTTCTAGGACCTGTTTGGTTTGAAAGTAGGGAAGGAAAAGGAAAGTTTTATCCTCGTTTTGTTTAGTTTGATTAAAAAGAAAAAGATGAAAGGATATTTAATGATTTCTTGTTTGGTTCAAAGAGAGGAGAGAAGAGAAGATAATAATCAATTTATCATTTTATCCTTACATATTAGTTTATATTTTTTATTGATATATTACATAAATTAATTTACATCTTAATTTAAATTATATAATTTAATGAAAATCCAGTCTTATCATGTTAATATGTATATTAAAAATTTGGTATAGTAATTTTTTATTCTAATTAATATAATAATATATTAAAAATAATCAAATTAGCAAATTTTATATGCTCTGAAAAAAAAAAGAAATTTTATTCTCTTTAGGCTATCTTTTTTTTCAGCTTTAAAATTATTTAATAAATAATATATTTATAAAAAACAATTAATTTTATAATATTATAATTTTTATTTAAATAATTTTTTATTTTTAAATAATTTTTTTAATAATATATTTTTTAATTATAATAATCTCTATTTTTTATTTTTCACTTAAGATAATATATTTTTTATTTGAAATAAACATTATAATAATATATTTTATGGGTAGTAGTGGAATATTAAAAAAACCATAAGAGTATAATGGTCTAAAAATTTAACTCCCTCAAAAAACCCCCAATTTAAAAAGGAGCTAAAATAGGGGAAGGAAGAAGAAGAGAGGGGACATTTTGGCTTTCCTTCCCTTCAAAATTTTTAACCAAATAAAAAGAATGACTCATTTTTCCTCCACTCTCTTACCCTGCCTTCCAACCAAACAAACCCTTAATTTTTGTCTGTTTGGAACTTGTTAAGTAGATCTTTTATAGTATCGTGGAGTTCCGACATGCACTATGTTAACTCAATGGATGTTAAACAGTAGGTGGAGAATAAACGAGATTTTTTGTTTGTCCAATTTCTATTCCTTAACGTTGATAATTGTTACGCCACCCGGTTGCGGGCTATAGGTGTGTATCCCCATGTGGAGAATATTCCGATCGCAGCAAGTGTAGCCTTCTAATTATAATAAAATAATTGATTTTTCCATCCTTTAATTTTCTTGTTATGCACAGACTGAGATAATTAGAAAATGGGACCTTAAACTTTGCAAAAATATTGTCCTCAAAATAACAAGTCTTAATCAAAAGTTAGGAGACTCAATTGAAAATGGTTTTTAATTATATTACTACCTCTGGTTCTATTTATAAGAGTTAGTTGACTAATTTAAGGAGATTGAGGAAAGAAGTTAAGTTAGTTATTTGTAATAAATATGTGTTATCTTTTCTAAAATATCCTTACTAATCAAGTGTATTGGTTAAAACTATTATTATTATAAATATTGTTTTGAAAAAAAATACATAAATATGAAAGATAAAGTGGATTGGAGTCTTATATTTACGATCAAAATAAAAGTCAAATAATATCTTATATTCAGAACCAAAGATCGTACTATTCTTCTCGCATGCATGTACAAGAAGTCGTTTT